CTCTTGCTTGTTTCCCATACTACGAGCGTTTGTGCAGAGGCATGTGATCAAGGTTAAAAAAGGAGATGTTCTCATAGAAAAGAACATAAGACATGATTATAATACTTCTAGAAATACAAACAGGAGAGTTTTATTTTAATTAAACTGAGTTAAATAGAGTTCTATTCTAATTAGTCAGTTTAGGCAGGTTTGAAAGCCCTATTTTCATTTACATTTGCAATCAAGATAAAATATAAACTCTTCAAGCAGGCAGAGAAGTCTCTCTGCCTACCTCCATACAGGTTTTTTCACATAAAATGTCATGGTTCTTGTTTTCTTAGTCTTCAACAGGCAAGACTTCCCAGCCCCACAGTAAACTTCTGAGTACAGGAGGTAAATCCATGTTTACCTTGGAACATTAAATATACTTAACACTACAACAACAGTGTAAGATTTCTTTGGAATATATAATCACGTACTTTTTAAAGATTTTTTTTTTTTTTTTTTTTTTTTTTTTTAACAGAAAGACAAAAAAAAGGGGTTTTCATGGGCCAAAGGTGTTTAATCCTGTTATTCCTGCAATAAAATTCTTCTGTTTTAACCAGGGATCCTGGTTTTCTCTGATTAAGAAAATATCCCCAATTTTCAGGTGAAAAAAAAAAAACAAACCCCAAAAAATCCACATTTTTCCATGATGAAAATGAAACGCTGCTAATTAGTGGCATTTTATTCTGATCACGGAAAAATATGGATTTTGGGTTACTTTTTAAATCTGAAAATTGGGGATTTTTTTTTAAATCAGAGAAAACCAGGATCCCTGGTTATAAAAGAGATAATGAGTTTATACTTTTGGGAGATATTTAATTGATTTATCATCTTAATGTGAAAAAAAAAAAAAAACAAACACTTCCTGAGATTCTTTAATATTTTCTAACATGTCACAAAAAAACATCCCATGGTTGACCAAATTAGAAACTTCAAGCCCTTTTTCATTAACCCAGTCATAATAAATGTCCAATCTTAAACTAGTTAACAGTGTATTATGGTCCAGATAGAAGTAACTTTTGAAATATTTCCATGGGAAACAAGCTTACAAATATTTATAAAAAGGAACAGTTTCAACCAGGGAATATTCAGCCTATGGAGTTCCCCGGGTGGAACATTTCAAAATGCTGTAGCCTCCTCTAGTGCCAGCCAGAGGACACTGAAATCCTTATTCTCCAAAATCCCACAATCTCTTTCTCATCTTAGTAGAGGTAGAGGGGATTGGGGATTGGGGATAGATGGTCCATCTCTGGTGGTAGCAGGGGCCCAGGTAAGCAAGGAGCTGATGGGCGTGGGACTACCAAGGGGGAATACAGGAGGTCCACATAGGGACCTGGCAATGCCTGAGGACCAAGAGATGCACCTGGCAGGTTTAACCTCCCTGTCCTCATATACAAGTAACAAAGTGAAATGCTTCAAAATCGTACCTCATTTTAAGATATACTATCTGGGAGAGCTTCATGTTTTAAAGGGCTTGTGCATATGTAGAGCTGGCCCGCTGAAACATTTCAAACACCTCTTAAACATTTCACTTGTTGCTTCTATTTGCACCCTCAGCTTATCCCATTCCACCATTTAACTGACAGAAATACTTGTTCACAGTTGTTTTGCAACGATGCCTACCATTGCTTCATTAGCATATTTTGTTCTGAGCTAAGTTCAGAGACTGCAGATTAATTAAAATGCAAAAACTTATAGAAAACCATTAGAAAACTTAAGATCAAACTGGCAATGGAAACAAGGATTAAACCGAAATTAAAATATGTACGCAACTGGATAGGAAATGCTCAATGACTAAAGCAAATGAAAAGCTCCTATTTTTCTTAATGCAAAGTATAAATGACTATATCAAGAAAAAATACAGATATCCAGCCCATTTTCTACAGAGAAATGTATATGTAGGAACATATGTAAGTGGTATTAATTATGCTGATTTGAGGATGTTAAGTGTCTTAAAAATAACTGAGAGAAGATAAAAGTGAAATTATACAGTAACACAGACTTGAAATGTCAGCAGTTTCCAAAAAAGCAAGTTTTACATATTTCTCCAGCCAATTTTTGTGGCTTTACCAACAAACAAAATATATTTCTTTCCTTTCTGAAACAGGGGAAGTGAATATAAAGCACTAAGCATGCAGAAAGTAGAGGGGTGTCCTTTATCTTTGAGCTACAGTGAACTTGTCTACTGATAAGAATACTACATTTTGGTCTGAAAATTAAAATGCTTTGTTTTTTTTCCCCCCCAGAGGATAAAACTAACAGTACCTACATGCGGTCTTCTTTGACCTGGCAACCCTGGACCCAGTCAATGAACTAAAATATCTAGGGGTGGTCAGACAGCAGCTCACAATTAGAAATCCAACATAAACAAATCAACTTTATATAAAAACATATAAAGTATGGTTATTACAGAAGCACTGTTCCACTAGAAATGCTGTCAGAGACACAGTATATCACAACATCTGATTTTAAAGGCTTAACAATTAAAATAATTTGTTCAGGAATTAGCCACAAAGTTCACAAGGTACCAAAATAATAGGGTTATCTATTGACCAACCACCTAAAAAAATAAAAAGGCAACATGTTATAGTGTATTTAAAGAAGTTGATATTCTGCATTAAGCAAAGAACTTCTAATTTAAAAAATATGTAATTTTTTACATTATTATTTGCAAAGCATAACTGTGCTCATGCAAGACATAAAACATGATTCTTGCCACAAGGAACTAACCATCTAACAGTTTATATATATTCCAGGCATTAATCTTTGTTCCAAAGCTGTAAGATTGAGGGATCTGGATTAGCCAGATGAGCAGTAATAGAATGGTGCAACTTGGAAAGACTGAACAGGACACCCGGAGATTTCCTCAGGGTTCTTCAAATAGACAAAATTTGGAAAACCCCTCTCTCTTCCTTTAGATGATGGTACAGTGAGAATTGAGGTAAAGCTTTTAGATCAATTTAGTTTTACCACTGTGTCATTCCTTGATCAGCAACAGAAAATTTGAAATAAACATTCTGTGACAACACAATGGAATAAGCCTTTCTGTATATATACAGACCAACTTATAATTCTTAAACAATACAGAATTTTTCCTTTAACTGACTATGGTAAGAGTGGATTTATCTTAAACATCACTAGAGGACTCACAATCCTTTATCAACAGAAGCTGGAGGTTCAGTTAAGTTAAAGAGTTGCGCCTAATTGACCTGACCACAGCCTTCAGAAGGGGATAATGCCAGATGAAAACTGGGCATGCCTACATGTGCATTAAAGTGCTTTAGTTAATACACATTACATCTAGTACCTTCATTGTGAGAAAACGCGCATTAGCCTGTCTTAATGTGCATTAACCAAAGAGCATGAGGCACTTTTACACATGCTCCCAGGGTGGGGATGGGGGATGGTGCTTTAATCAGAGCGGCTCTGAGAGCCGCTCTAATTAAAGCACTTCCACGTCTCGTGTATCAGCCTCCCTGCACTTAAAAATGGCTGTAGGGGTGCTTGAGCTAAAGCTCATTCAATGAGCTTTAGATCAAGTGCCCCGCCACCATTTCTAAGTGCAAGGTCACTGATACACGAGACACAAGAGGCTGCTGGAGTGTGGCAATTGCCACACTCGAGCAGACTTGATGAATGGAACCTGCTCCATTAACTACATAGCATTTTTTCTTAGTGACGCTTTAATGCGCATTAAAGTGCACACGTAGACGAGCACACTATGTTGAAGTGTTTGTATGGAAATTAGCTAAGATTTTAATGTCTAATAAGCTTCACTTATTTTTCCAAAAAGGATATCTTTCAAACATGCAACCTAGGTTAATTAAGTCTTTAGAAGGGTTTTTCTTCTTTTTAATATATTAAATGGCTTGAGATTCAAGAACTCAACAGAAATCAAATGTTAGAACTGAGTATTATAAACATTGTGTGTGATGATTTTAAGAAGGTCAAGTAAAGTGTCATTGTCTTGTTCTACTATGTAAATGATTTCACTGCAAGGTTAGAAATATTTACCATATTCACCAAAACGAAGGGACTCCCACTGTTGCCATTCTACTATGCTGCTGACTGCACGCACACCAGCATAGATTAACAGCATTCCTAAAGTGGCATCAAGCAAGAAATTTATAAGGTACCTGGAAGGAAGAAAAAGTGTGTAAGGAAGAACAGTGATCATGGTGAGCCTTGTCTCCTGATGCTAGGGATATTCTATCACTGCAATGGACAAAAGGTATATTTGCATGCTTCTCTAAAAAGTCAAGATATCAGTGAGATTTAAAAAAAATGAATAGGCATTTGTCCTGTAACTATATACTAGACTTACATTTTAAATAGTTTTAGAGCTGTCCTATTCTTTTGTTCTTCAAGTTAAGTTCCAAATTAAACTTCCATGTACAATTTGCAATTTGCACGTTATGTCTTCTAATTAAACCAGGTTTCCCCCCCTTCCACTCACTTCACTGTATTTGGGAATCACACACGAGTGGAGATACAAAACAAGATTTTACCAAACAACAAGTGTGTTTCTATACTGCTTAAAGACACAGCTAAATAAAAAATTAAACAAAATTTGACACAGAAGAAACTATGAATTGTTTCATATGAATATCAAAGGAAGGTACAACTTTTTACATATGGAGACACTAAAATTAATAGTTTTCTGTTGAAAAGTAGTGCATGTAGCAAGCAGAAGACATGCATGATACTATATCTGTATCTACCAAATTTAAATTGGAATTCAAATTAAAGGGATGGAACTTCAAGGGTTATCTGGCCTAAATTCTACATTGGGGGGGGGAGGGTCAAATATACCTGCAGAGCTGCTCAACCTGGCCTGTGGAACTATTCATGGGATAGGTTTGATTCCCTTATTCTACATGAATGCAGGAATGCTATTCCTAAACATCCTGGGACAATGCTTATTCGGCCTCCTCTTGAAAACCTCCGAGGATGGAGATTCCACAACTTTCCTGGGCAGTCTATTGCACTGGCTCATTGTTCTAATAGTGAAGAAGTTTTACCTGAGATGAAACTTAAATCTACTTTGGGGAAAATTAAATTAGTTCAGTGTTAAGATGAAGGACCACTCTAATTCAGCTAAGGCAGTTTTTGATATTCAGAATGTGTGTGTACAATGCTACAAGTATCTTTAGACAGAATAATTAAAATACTTTGATGATGCAATCTTCTATTTCAATAGTTACACAGAGTTGATGCATTTCTATTTTAAGAGACTCCTGGCTATATGTTATGTTATACACTAGGACTGTGCAATTTAAGTGGCTGGGGACTGTACCAGGGCAAGCCATGGGCCCCTTGGGCTGCACAGAGGCCCCCACCTCTGCTGCACTGTGCACCTGTGCCCTGACCCCCACTGCTGCACTTGGGCACCCACTCTCGCCCTCAGCTTCCCCATAGCACCATGTTACCGTGTTGTACTCCTCTTCTATCCATGCCCCCACCAGGGACAGGCAGCAAAGCTGGAGGAATAAGAGTAAGTCTAGATTCCAGCTGCTGTTCAGATGAAGTGAAGTGACATGGCAGAAGCCTAGTGGCCACAACTTAACCATTTGCAGGCCTCAAGCAGCCTGAAGGCCATCAGTTGGACAATCCAATTATCCACAAGGATTCATATAGGATTTGAGTTCATATTTATATTCTACCTCCTTTCAAATAGAATCCTAGGTAGCAGTGTTTCTTCTAGGATGGATGATGTACCCCTGTAATAAGGGTAATGGAGCTTTAATTTTCTTATGTATCCGTAGTGGTAAAGTTTGGCCCCTGCTGGTACCCTCTAATGATTAGGAAAAAAAAAAAGCTGTGTTGATGAACAAACAAATATTAGAAAGCAGGCACAGGATATAAAAGGGTAAAATGGTAGTCTCAAGAACTGAGGGGTTAGATCTGGAAACTAGCAAACTAGCCTTAGCTTAGGGAGAGGC